TCCCCCGCAACCCCGGAAATCTCTGTATTTCTAGTTTTGCGGAGTTTCTGCTCATGAGTGGATGTGGATTTTGTCTCTTGCTCTCTGCGTATTTTTCATTCGTGTGTGAATATGGCGAATGACCGATTTTCAGGTGTTAAGCCAGCCTTCCACACCCCCGATAAATCCCATTACCGTGATGGATTACCCACTTACACTCTTTTTACATACTGCTGCGTTCTTTTTGCTAATTTTTTTTTTTTTTTTTTTTGCTTTTTGATAGTATCTTGTTAAGGGTTTTTTCATCTATGTTCTAGACCAGGGGTCCTCAAACTGTTTAAACAGGGGGCCGGTTCACTGTCCCTCAGACCGTTGGAGGGCTGGACTATAGTTTAAAAAAAAACTATGAACAAATCCCTATGCACACTGCACATATCTTATTTTGAAGTAAAAAAACAAAACGGGAACAAATACAGTATTTGTATTTGCATGTGGCCTGCGGGCCGTAGTTTGAGGACCCCTGTTCTAGATCAAGTGCACGTGGACCATTCCCCAACACAGACCATAGTCTGGGCCATAAAACACACTTCAGCAAAAAACTTAAATTTTTGACAATAAAATTTAAGTCATACAAAATGCTAAATTACTGTATCAATTAATAGAAGGAAAGCATACCTTTAAACAACCCTTTGGACAAAAAGGAGGTCTCCAGGTGAGATAGAAACTATTCTGAACTGAATAAAAATAAGTCAGAGCTCCTGGGATGCAGGCAAAGCAGCAGAGAAGAAAGTTACACATTAAAGTGCTCTTTATTAGGACACAGCATCACCTAAACTTCCACCTGAGCTGGAAAACATAAACACCACTGAGGTAGTACAAGCAGAAATCGATGAAGCAGAAACACAAAAGCTGCAGAAGAATAAAAGCCGAAGTTAGTCCCTTGAAAAGTTCAATATTAATAAACTTCTAATCAGACTAAGAAAAAGAGAGAAAACATTGTCAATATCAGAAATGAAGGATGGAACATAAAAGGACAATTTGACAACTTTCATGAAACTGATTCCTTAAAAGACACAACTGGAATTCACAAAGAAATATATGCCCCCAATAGTCCTATACCTACTTAAGAGACTGAATTTCAAAGTTAAAAACCTTGCAATTACGAAAATTACAGGTTCAGACAGTTCTGGGGAGTTCTTCAGAACATTTAAGGAAGAAATAACGCCCATCCCTAACTTGAGAAGTCCCCCGAGTGCACCCTTTAGTAAGGCTATTCCATTAGAACATACGCACGTGCACACGCACATACACACACGGGTGCACACTTGCGCGCGCACACACGGGTGCACACATGCACGCACGCACACGCACACACACGTGTGAGCACACACACGCAAGAAGGAAAGCACTTGGTGAGAGGACCGTTTATTTAGGAAGGTCCTGGAAGCAGCCCCTGCAGAGGGCGCCCACAGGGGTCACACAGGGAGCTGGCCCGGGCAGGGCCAGTGTGTGGCTGCCCGTGGCCTCCTGCAGAGGGAGGGCTCTGAGCCCAAATACAGAGATCCAAGCAGGTTCCAAATCCACACAACCCGTTTCCCAGAGCGAGGCAGGTGGGGTTCCCTGCGGCCACAGGAGTTCAAGGCTAGAGAGCCAGCCTCTGGGCGGAGGGGGAGAACCGAGGCAGCCCCCTCTCCTAGCCCAGGTCCCCCTCTCCTAGTCGGGCTGTCTGCACCTGGCCCCCTCCTGACACGTCCCCCCATGAGACAGCTTGAGGGGGGTCTGGCCTCTGAGCTCAATCACCAGCTCCCCCTCCTTCCCTGCCCTGCAGGGAGACTGCAGGACCCTCTGCCCCAAGGGGCCCCACGGCATCTGCAGATGGGACCGCGCGGCCGGACAGTGTGTTCAGGGCGCCAGGCCAGGGGGCGCCGAGGCAGGAGGCCCAGCAGCCTAGGCCCGCCGGCTGCCAACCTTCGCCAGAGCTCAGCCCCTGGGCCTGCAGACACGGAGGGGCTCTGCGCCCGCCACCCTGCGAGTCCTGCCAGCTGCTTCCCCCGCCTCCACACGGTTCTGGCTAGTTCGTGGCTCCCGCTCTCATTCCTGGAAGCTCGTCCGCGCTTCGCTCACCTGGCTGGGCTGCTCCCCGCACCAAGGCCTCAGGGTGAGAGGGAGAGGCCGACACAGACACAGGGCTGAGGGCGGAGGGGACCGTGTGCAGTCACTGTCCAGGTCATGAGTTCAAGAAGGCGAAAGCTGATGGCTCTGAGCCAGGAGGCTCTGGGGCTGCCACGCTGTGTGACAACATCCAAGGGGGCTGCGGGGGCTCCTGGGTACCAGTCCCAGCCTCCACCAGGCGGGGGCAGGCCACCAGCTGCATGCCAGCAAACAAGGACTTGTGGCCGCTGCTGGCCCCCGGGCCCCTCAGGCAGCCGCTGGGGTATGGGCCCGATTCCGGTCCTCCATTGGGAGCGTCCGAGCCCAACCGGCCCTGCTCAGGTCTGGGCTCGGCCTTCCTGGAGTCCCCGTGGCCTGGGAGGAGGCACCCACCCAGGGCGGGAGGGGCTGCAGGGCCCCTGGGGGAGAGCAGGGTGGAACTCAGAGGCTGGAGAGATGCAGGGCCCCCGGTGAAAGGCACAGTGTCTGTCAGCAGGTCTGACGCGCCCACACGCGTGGCTGCGGGGTTGGGCTCGGCCTCTGGCCTCCGGGCAGCGGCGTGCTGTCGGCAGGAGGCTTCTAAGTGCCTCAGGATCTGGACGGCGGGAGAAAGGGAACTGGTGAGGGCCCAGTCATCCTGGGGACCCTGGAGGGCACACGGTCCTC